ACCAATCCTATTCACCACTTATAGGACGAAGTGCGAAGATACCTTCAAAGCTTAGAAATGCCATTGTATAGTATGAACCAAAATTACAGCTAAAGCTGTCATTATGTTATTCTCCTCAGGAGCAATATCAACACCTTATTGAGTTCATGTCCAGAAAAATGCTGGCTGTGATCAAGGTGGGCTAATTTGTAATTACAAGATGTCACTCATATTTCAGCTGCACACAGTTTAAAATACTGCACATGTTGTTGTATGTCAGATACAGATATTACTAATATTATTTAAGAATTCACTATGCATCACAGCATATGGAGAAACTGTCAACTAATGATCCTAAAAATTGTCCGGTAAACTAGAAGAAAGATGTCTAATGTAATTAAATAACACAAATGTTGCATATCATTTGTAGAATAAAGAATTCTGCTGTTTGCATGTATGTAATTCTTTCACGTACTTATGTATTATCTCACTGATTGTGAAACTGTCACCAAGCAGCATGATTTAGAGTCAATTCTAGTCAAGTGTAATGTACTTATAACACACTTATAACATATGAGTTTTCATTTGACGTAATCTCAATACGCCATGTTTTGGTTTTATGACAAAAATATAAATTTACAGTTTTGCTGTATTTTCCCAAGCATTTGGGAGAAAAAAGATTGAAATTTGGGATCTGCTTTTACAGAACAGCAAGCACAATTTTGTTTCTTCTAGTATTTATTTCAATTTAGTGGAAGAAACCTATTTCTTTCAGCTAGTTTTTTCTGCTGTTGAAGAAAATTTGTTAACCCTAATACTTATGGAAAACTTAATTGTGTACCATATAAAAACGAAATTAAATATGAATATTAACTGATTAAATATTGATTTGAAATTTCATAAATAGTTCTACAAACATGTACACTACATAAAGATAATTCACATAAAATAAAATTTTAAAAGAAAAACTAATTAAAGTAAAAAGAACAAACGATAAAAGACCTATGTCAAAAACTTTGTGCATTGAGCTGCAAAATTTAGAAAAAAGTTAAAAGAAATTTCCTAGTTCGTACGCCAAAAAGTTGCTTAGATACTATGGTTCCATGAAAATATTAACGTAAGTAAAATATGCAATGAAATGTGTTATAAAGATAAAATAAACAACACAAACACTTGAATATTTTCAAATAAAATTCAATACTAATTGTAAGCAATATGCTAATCAAAGTAAGGCATATTTTACATTAGAATTAAAGTGCGACAAAAGATTTAAGCAAAAATATAAAAACTAAGAAGCGGTAAATGGTAGATTAGGCTAATTCGAATCTCATTATGGCTCTTCAGGGCAAATTTTTTTTTAATGATTTTCGAATCAAGCTTACTCCATATCGCATTTCGCCGAAACAGACAATTGAAACTGTATACGAAACACTTTTTATAAATTAATTGAAAAAACTCTGCCAAAATCTTTAGTTTCAATTCTCTGTTTCAATTTCCCGACGTGTCCGCTTGAAGAAACACATTAAAGTGTAATAAAAGTATAGATAATGGAATGGTAATGCCGACGTACAAAATAAAATAAATAGCGATTTGCTATTAGTCAAAATATACAAGATTTTATGGGAGGACCTACTAGCTTATAGAGTTTAAACTTTGCAAAAGTACCAAAAATTAAATTTAAAATAATAACAATAAAAAAAGATGAAATTTAAGTAAGGGTGTTGCTAAGACCAAAAATCAACACAAAAATCAACAATATTTTTTAAAAACCAGACCTGGAAAACCGACGTCTTCATAGCAGGAATGATCAAACTTAAAAGGGGGTGCAAGCCTCGAGCAAGCAAGCTGCTAACCAACAAGGCTGTATGATGTAAAAAGGGGGAGAAACGTCATGAGGAAAGAGCCAATGAAAAGTGACTGACAAAAACCTGACTCAGTGTAAGGGGGCAAAGCGTTGAAATACGCAAAAACTGTTCAAGATGGCGTTTCGCTCTATGAGTTTGAAGAAATTTGGGCGCGGGTGAAAGAAAAAATGGCTAATTTAACAAAATGTTATAATATGGCCACAAAACATTTCTGCCCTTTTGTTTCCTTTTCCCATGACATTTCTCCCCATTTTACATCATACAGCCTTGTTGGTTAGCAGTTTGCTTGCTCGAGGCTTGCACCCCCTTTTGAGTTTGATCATTCCTGCTATGAAGACGTCGGCTATCTAGGTCTGGTTTTTAAAAAAAATTTCTTTCTCTTGTGTTGATTTTTAGTCTTAGCAACACCCATACTCAAAATTCATCTTTTTTATTGTTATTATTTTTAATTTAATTTTTGGTACTTTTGCAAAGTTTAACTCTATAAGCTAGTAGGTCCTCCCATAAAATCTTGTATATTTTGACTAATAGCAAATCGCTATTTATTTTATTTTGTATGTCGGCATTACCATTCCATTATCTATAGTTTTTATTACACCTTAACCCTGCAATGGAGGAGCCGGCGTATGGAGTACGCCAATGCCATCTTTCGGGCTGTAATTTTCAGACAACTCCTTCCTCCCTTCCTCTACCCTCCTACATTCTATGAGTGCAATGCATCTGGTATTTCTGGTTAGTCTGGTTTTCGCTTTCCTTCCGAAAGCAGTTATTGTGAACATGTCGCGTAGGCGAACGCAGTACGCCGCTCCTCCAAGTATGTACAGAAAGAATATTGTACCTCCTGAAGATTATTTGCGCGTTTTAGAAGCGATTGATGAAGTCTCGGTTGATGAAGACACCGAAAATTTGGATAACGCAAATGATGTCGATGAATTGGAAGTCATCGAACATTCTGATCATGAAAGTGATTCAGAAATTGAGGGAAATGTTCTAAACATCCTCATTTTCCTTCCTCAAATGACGTTTCCCCAACAAATGACGATTTTCGTGATGATGAAAATGACATGAGTGATATAAATATGAAGGCTTTTTGTAAACAAAATTTACAAAAAGAAGAAAGTTAGTTTCTGAAAGAAAGAAAGGAAACTTATAAATGGAATAAAGTTCTCCTCAAGAGTAAATTCGCCAGAACGCCTCGAAAACATTTGATGAAAAAAATATTCCCAAGTGCCAAAACTTGTGACGATATAAATGATGAGCTTTCTGATTTCCAAAAAATCATAAATACAAATATGATTGATGTCATCGTACAATATACAAATATTTATCTCAAATGTAACAGGACTGCAGATGATCTCCAAAACATCTCAAAGAGAAGCATGTATGATACATGATTCATTGTCTCCCGAAAAACCAAGAGGCGGACAATGGCAATATTTTTTGCGCTCCTAAACGTAGCAGGCATAAATTCGCAAGTGCTCTTGAACTTCGCCAAACCTGATGCAACCATCAAGTTCAGAATATATTTTTTGAAAATCTAGCTACATCTTTGATGAAACCACATCTTCAGAATCGCCTGAAAATGCCATTTTTCCTGTCGCATTCCAAAGCTATTATTAGAAGGCTGGTAACAACAAGAGAGGACAAGACGGCCGAAAGGGACGAGGAACCACCTGCAAAAAAGATCAAAGGACGCTGCACTGAGTGCGATAGAATGAAGAATAATTACACTACCATAAAATGTTCTGAGTGTTCTAAGTTTACCTGCAAAAATTATCTGGGCAAGACAGTACAACTTTGCAAACCCTGCTGCAGTGAACAGGGACAATCTGAAGAGGATTAAAGTAGCAAAAGGTTTTTAATTTTTTCATTTGTGAAATTTATTACTTACCGAACTTTACTTTACGGAATATTTATAATTTGTAAATTTGATTTATGATCCTATAATTTTCATACTTAAAATAATACAGAATACTCTATAACTCTAAATTACATTTCCAGTGCATTCCATTTTTTTGAATTAATTAAAAATTCTTAATTTCCATCTTTATTGCTTTTTTCTGTTATTCTTTTTCTTATATCATTTTTACTATGACGATTCACCTTATTAATGCCACGTATAAGATTAAATAGTTTCAAACACGAAGTAGAGGCTCGAAAAACGACCTGGCATACTTCATACGCCGCTCCTCTAAAATTGTACCATATACCAGCCCCTCCAACTGAGGGTTAATGTGTTTCTTCAAGCGGACGCATCAAGAAATGGGAATAGAGAATTGAAACTAAAGATTTTTTCAAAAAATTGGCACAGTTTTTTTCAATTAATTTATAAAAAGTGTTTTGTATACAGTTTCAATTGTCTGTTTTGGCGAAACGCTATATGGAGTTAGCTTGATTCGAAAATCATTAAAAATAATTTTCTCTGAAGAGCCATAATGAGATTCGAATTAAGCTAATCTACCATTTACCGCTTCTTAGTTTTTATATTTTTGCTTAAATCATTTGTCGCACTTTAATTCTAATGTTTAAAATATGCCTTACTTTGATTAGCATATTGCTTACAATTAGTATTGAATTTTATTTGAAAATATTCAAGTGTTTGTGTTGTTTATTTTATCTTTATAACACATTTCATTGCACCTTATTTTACTTATGTTAATATTTTCACGGAACCACAGTATCTTTCACACGTTTCACGGAACTTTTTGGCGTACGAACTAGGAAATTTCTTTTAACATTTTATAAGAAAAGTTATGCTAAAAATCACTATGGATAAAGGAATTTACAAAATTTAGTTTTCATTTATTCAATAAATTTCATTTATTGCTAAGCATTTACCTTAGCAAGGGAAAACTATTTTCCTTTAATGTTTATTAAAAACTGGGAGACATCGTACTTTACTAAGAAACTAAGAGACCAGGAGAGTTAGTATGTAACCTACATAACTGGCTAAATGTTACTCGTTTGGCATGGGAGAGGGGCAAGAAGAAAAGAGATCCACTTAAAATACACCCCAAAGTTTGCAGCATAAATTAATACAAGCTCTTCTCTTGTTTTTGCAAAAACATCAAACATTATACAACAGAACACAGCATCAACTGTTCATTATATCCTAATGTAACTATTTTTCTTTAAATAAAAAGAAAGTTGACTTACCAATGATTAAGACAATGGAATAATTTATATACATCTTTCCTCTTTTCAAATCCTGGTTGCTTTGGCAGAACATTGTAATATGCATTATAAAATGAGCGGGGAAATCCTCCAAACATATCTGCTATTGATAGCTCATACTCAGAATGCCCATAAAACACAGCAGGATCAAAAATTACTAAAATAAAACACCACAATTACTGTATTTAAATAACAATAAATAAATTGTCAATACCTGAAAACAAATATCACTCATAAACTTTCATCCATAAAGTTCTGAGACTGATTTAATTCCAGCATGGACAAATATGAAATTCCAGTTTCTGCCTGTCAGCAACTAGATGATTTATAATTTGCCTATGTAATTGTATTTAGTTTGCTCTGCTTGTCTTAGTATGGCAAAACAATAAATAAAAAATAAAATAAAAACAAAAAAGATAGGCAAAAAAAGGAAAGGCAAAAAAGAAAATGAAATCCATGTTCCTTTCCATTAATTCCAGCATGGACAAGTATGAAATTCCAATTTCTGCATGTCAGCAACTAGAAGTTTTATAATTTGCCTATGCTATTGAATTTAGTTTGCTATGCTTGTCTTAGTATAGCAAAACAAAAAAAATAAAATAAAAAAAACAAACAAAAAAAAAAAAAAAAAGGAGGAAAGGCAAAAAAGAAAAACAAATCCATGTTCCTTTCCAATGGGAGTTTGTGCTCTATGAATAATGGTTTGAATACTGAGTTAATATCAAATTCTGGGTCAAGCTATACATATACTGTGCCTTCTATATGAAGTTTACAGTGATAAATTACATGATATAAGTGTTTGAGAAGAGCAGGACATTTATGTTAAAAGATAGCAAGAGACTGAGCCCAGCCCTGAAAGGTTTACAAAACAGAGAGAAAATTTTTTACGTTAAATTAATGGTATGGCTGTGCATATTGACTGATGGTTGGCCTAAATATCTGCAGTTAACTAGCCACCAAATCTCACAGAAGGATTTGGTAAGCTAATGTTCAGTGTCAGGCTAATCCCCATGTATTCACTTAAGATCAGAAGTACACACATGTTATAATATGTTACATGGGGTATAAAATCCTGTGTTCATCAATAACACTGTTCCTGAAGATTTCTAGTTCACTTTTCGGACCAAATATTAAAATGTCAATTGATGGTCACAAGACTGTACATATCAATGAAAATAAGCTGGCAACCATTGAAAATAAAGACAGTGATTTTAATTACCAGCATATAGTTCACCTCGAATTTTTTCCCCAAGGCTAACTACAATCAAGAAATTCACAGGTCCAAACTCAGGTATATGCATAAGGCACTTAAAACATTGTTGTCCTGACCGATTAACATCTCCTCAGAAAATCTGATGTTACTATGCTTTCATACCCTCATGCTTTCCTGATCTCACTTCAATACATTTTTTGCTTCTTATAATAGGAAGGAAACTAAAATGAAGGCTATGTTAGAATGCTAAATCTATTTGAATTTGAAGAACTTATCAGCTATTTCAAACATGCTTAACTGATTACAAAGGTAACTACATCAAAGAAGACAAGAATATTTCTAGTAATTTAATTTTTTGATTCTTTATAAAACCAGTCTCAAAATTTTATGGAAGAAATTCAATAATTTTTTTTTTATTTTGTTTAAACTGAGTTCTATTGGTTTTAATACTGTGTACTTATTTAAATCACATACCAGGTCCTTCTTCTGTCTCTGATACATTTCCACTCCATAAATCACCATGCAATAGAGCAGGTGTTATGGTAATATCCTTGAAAAAACTAGGAAGCTTTAAACTCAACTCTGACCAAAGTTCTCTAGCTTCACGATCTCCATAATTTGATTCAACTAATCGGATTTGATGATCAAGCCTTTGCTGCCCATAAAACTCCTAAAATGCATTTATAGAATTTGTAATGCTTTTTCCACAGATGAAATATTAGTAAAATATATATGAATGTTTTAATTAGAAATGAATAAAATAGAGCATTTCAAATTACTTGAAATCAAAGGTTAATCAAAAACCCATGCTTGTCAAATTTAATGTTTAATATGAACATTATCTTCTATGAACTTCAAATATTCAGATGGTATACAAATGGGCTATAGTGTGAATTAATTTGGATATTTTGCATTCTAAACACTTTCAGAAAAACAGCATAATATAAGATTGATCTTTAAAAAAAAAAAAAAAAAAAAAAAAAAGATTATTAATTAAGGTTTTGTGTTTGTGAATTTTTGCAGAAAGTTTGATTCTCTGAAAATGCACTTTTTCCTAACTTAAATTAATAATCTAACATTCTGTCCTAGAAATCAGTAATTTTTTCCCCTATAGAAATAGTTATAGAAAACATACATGCACTGCAACTGGAGAGAAAACTTCCAGAGAGACACTAATCATATACAAAGCTTGGCACACAGAATAATATATAATTTGTAAATAATTCTGATAACACTATCTATTTTCTATATCAGAATATCAGAAAAATATTCATTCATATTATTTCACAAATGATAATTACATCTTAGCAATTTGTGTACATCATAAAGCCGTCTAGTGCTAATTACACAAGACTAAATGCATTAGGTATTTTATATGCTTTATAACCAAGCCTCATTTTTGCACAGTACTGCTGTATAAAGGGTAGTGTGCAGCTGTAACAAGCCTAGGGCACAAAAAATACTTAGCCTTTTATTCTGAATACACTTACATATAGATTTATTAATATACAGTTATGTGCCACACCCCATTAACTAGCACATTTTGCCTTGCCTCAGTGGACAGTAGTACTACTACTTTAAGTGCTCCACTCACACTCATCATTAGCTGCTATGAATACTTGGGCTTGAGTTCAATGTTAACCTGACAGTTTTGACAGATTAGCTTAAAATTAATCACTGAAGATATTCCAGTATAGTATTAGATCATCAGGAAAGTTCAAAGATTTCTTGATGATAAATAAAGTAGTATTTTTTAAATAAAGTAGTATTTTTTTTTTTTTTTTTTTTTTTTTTAAATAAAAGAAAGAAGCTTAAGGAAAAGAAATGAAAATAAAAAAGAAAGAAATTTTATTGAATCATATAAGCATCATTTTGTTTTAAAAAAATTATTAGGTTTATATACCACTAAGAAAATACCGAGATGCTGTTTGACAATCTTCAAAGAAGTGAATTCCTAGCCATACATCCGAACCATGTTCGATAAATCTTTGTTTGACATTCTTTGAAATGTGAGGACGAGTATTGTCATGATGGAAGACAACAGCTCAACAAATGGCCAGTTCTGAGTGCTTTGTTTCAATTTCTGCTTTCAAAACTACCATTTGGAAACAGTATTTTTCCAAATTTACTGACTTATTTGGTGGTTATTTATAATATAGAATTCCTATGTCATTCTATCTAAAGCATTACTTTTTGCAGATGCAGCTTTCTCCTGAAACAAGGTTCTTGAAAGGAAATAAAGTAGGTTTTTTTTTGGGGGGGAGGGGCTTACCGCATGATCTTTTTCTTCCAGCATTATTGTATAGTATCCACTTCTCCTCACCAGTGAAAAGTTGTTATAAAAAATTTATTTCTTTACTTTCTTTCAGCAAAGAACCATATACCGGAACTCAAGCATGTTATTCTCCATCATAACATGTTACCCATACATCATAACATGTTACACAGTCTTCTTCAAATGATCATATACTGTACATTTTTTTAATATTTAGTCTGTCTGATAACACAGATTTTCAGTGATAACTTCTTTTCATAGGTCTTTGTTTGCAGCAGATAGTCATCCAGAGCAGATATATTCAAAACTCAGCTTAAACTTCGGCGATTCCGGATTATCGATTTTTCTGGATTATAGATCATCAGTTTAAATCTGGTAAGATGGCATGCAGAAATTACAAAATTAAAAATATGAAACCATAATTTATGAAATAAAGAACAATTATGATCTAAAGGGTATCAAAATTTACAAAAAGAAAAAGCGTAATATTTATTTGTTTACTTTATTAAACATTTTTTTCAATGTAAGTTGTTTAAGTTGCTTCGTTTCATGTGATAGTACTTTCTCTTTAATTCTATTAAACAGACATAATTTCTTGTTTAGTTACAAAGTTTCCGCTGTTCATGTCCTATAAATGCTGTGTTGAGAATACCGACTAATTTGTTAATCGAAATTTTTTCGCTTTCAATAACCTCTGGGTCACTTTCTTCACTATCAGAAGCGAATTATAATGATGAGGAACTTGATTTAAATCATATCAAAGACGGAGTACATCGAGATGAAATACTACATTTAGTAAGGAATTATAAGCCAAATAAAATAAAAACATCTGCCCTGAAGATAAGGATAGTGCTGACAGGTCAACTTCCAATTAATTGCGCACCGTGGCGTGAAATTGATAAACAGTTTTTGGATTTCGAAACATACTTTTGCTTAGATCCTCGGAAATTCTATTTGACATAATCGCAAACTTTTGGCTTGTTTTCCACATGCAAATTTTGATCGGAGGTAAGCTAACGTGGTTGCCGCTGATTGGCCGAGTATGATATATATGTACGCCGGTATCGACGAATATTCTTGTTCTCTTGTGTTATTATGAGTTAGCATAATGCTAGTTTGCTTTCACTCAAATGATTTTAAATGTAAAGGCTACAGTGTTAGCTCTTTTATTTTAATTTACGGAATAAAGCATGAATTTTATTTAGATTAGTCTTAGCTTTATTTAAGGGAAGCAAAATATGCTTTGCCTTTATCACCACTGCCAACAGGGTTATGGGCCCAGCGCCAACAGCTAATCGGTCATCCAGTTCAACTCAGCATTGAAGGAATGTAGGTGAAGAGGGCCGTTATCCACGAAAAGAAGCTGACCTGTCTTAGAAGTTTGTTCAAGTCGTTGTGCTCACACTTAATTGAAGATGTCATTACTACCTGAAGGTTTTGAGCTGTTAAACCATGACAACTGGGATCGATGGAAAGTCGACATGAAAATGCTGTTACTGGATAGAAATTGTTGGAGCTTCATAGAGGACAAAGAAGAAGAATTAGATAAAAGTGCAACAAGGCGTGAAAAGCAGGAGTTCACACTGAGAGAGAACAGAGCCTTCACTACATTATATTATGGAATTAAAACTGAGTTCAGGCCGCTGATACAAGAATGCTTCAAGTGGTAAAGAAGCCTGGGAAGTTCTACAGAAGCAATTCGAACCCAAAACAAAAGCAAGGATAATTCAGTTACTGGATGAATTTTTTAGCATTAGATACACCTCAAATGAACAAATGGGATTATTCATCGCAAGGATAAGAATGACTGCAAAGAAGTTGGCTGAAGCTGGTCACAACTTGGCAGATCTTTTTAAAGGATTTCAGGCAATAAGGAGATTACCCCAGGAATACTCCGGCATTGTACAGTTGATCTATAGGTGGAAGGACGAAGATTTTACGCTGGAAAGAATTGCTGAAGAACTGGTAAGGGAAGAAAGCCGACTTCGCCAGGTAAATGCCGATTTAGAAGACAGCAAGGTAAGCGTGTTTAATACTATTAGTTCAAATGCAGGGAAAGATAAAGTTGAAAATAAAACTAAATCTAAGAAAAAATGGGGAATATGAGAATAGGACCTTGTTTCAGATGTCATAAATTTGGGCACTTAATCGCTCAATGTAAAGAAAATGTAAGTAAAAATCAGAAGTTTAAAATAGACGATAAAAATGGACAGTTTAAAGATAAAGAATTAATGTTAGTAGAAAATTATGTAACAACTACAGATAAAGGAGGTAACGCAGATAAATTTAATTGGGTCGTAGATACTGCAGCTACAACTCATTTCTGTAATAATAGAAATTTAATGACAAATTTCGAAGAAATAAACGATATACGTATGTCTTTAGCTGTAGGAAATTGTGAAAGTAAAGTACTAGGAAAGGGTACCGTCAAATTTGCAGTAAAAGTAGGCAATCGAATAAATTGGATTGAGTTAGATAATGTGTTATATAATCCAAATCTAAGAAGAAATTTATTATCGGGAGCAAGGTTAGAAAAGGCAGGTGCTCATTTTGTGATTTCAAAAGGGAAGATGTGGATATACTTTAATAATTGGGATAGATTATGCTACGCTAAACGATATGACAGACTTTATCAATATAGACTTTATCACATAAAACCATGTAGATATGCAATAAATAAAAGGTAAGTTGGTTACGGTACAGAAATTGGAAAGTTAAATAAAGTAGACGATGCAATGCTATGGCATCGGAGATTTAGCCACGTAAATTTTGATTATATTAAGAAAACTAGTAAGAATCAAAGCGTGAAAGGGTTACCAGAAATTGAAAAACCAATAGGAGAGGTGTGAATCGTGTATTATTGCTAAATCTAGTAGAATAACTTTTAAAACTGTTCCAAAAAGATCGGATAAACCATTGCAGTTGGTTTATTTAGACGTTTGTGGCCCACTACCAGTTCCATCTAAGGGTAGGAGTAAATATTTTCTTGCTATTGTGGATGACTATAGTAGATTAGTAACAGTGTATTGTATGAAAAATAAAAATGAATCGTTCTACAACTTTACGAATTATCATAGGCAAATGGAAAGACTGACGAATAGGGTACTTAGCCGAAAATGGAATTAGTGTTGAACGCACAAACGCGTACACCCCAGAAGAGAATGGTGTGTGTGAACGTTTTAACCGAACGGCATTAGACGCAGTTAAAGCTATGCTTAATGATGGTAAAATGGGTAAAGAATGGTGGGCAGAAGCTCTTGGCTGTTTCGTACATACATGGAACAGAGTATTTCATAAAAGCAACCAAACCCCTTATGAAATGTTCCTAAATAGAAAACCCAGTGTTGTTTATTTTAAAATATTTGGTTGTAAAGCCTATGTTGGCGTGCCAAAACAGATTAGAAATAAATTACAAATGAGGTGCAAAGAAGAAGGAATCATGGTAGGTTATGCAAAGGAAACTAGGGGTTATAGGATATGGCTGCCAGAAGAACGCAGATTAATAGAAACCTGTAATGTGAAGTTCGATGAAAAACTGTATGCAGCAAATGGCATCCTGGAACAGAAATCAAAAACCTAAATTTAAAAGACTAGAGGAATCTGAGCTATTAGCAGAATCAGATGAAGAACAGGAAATTTCTAGAGAAGAAATAAAGTTGTCAGATGACAAATCTACTCCGAAAGAAGTATCAGACTTAAACTGGCAAAGAAAAGCAGCAGTTAAAAGGCCAGATGGAACACGTACAGACATATATTATTATGTAGAGGGAACAGACAGACCCCGTTTTAGATCCTATAATGATATTGAAAAGTATTGTGAGGCAAGAAATATTAAATTTGAAAAAGATAAGTTTGATTTTAGTGGAAAAAACGAATACTCGGGGAAAGTTAATTTTGTAGAACAGGAGACTAGCTCCGTGTCTGAAGAGGCAAATTCCGTAGAAATTGTTATCCCACAAAATTTTAAAGAAGCACGAAAATCAGTAAATGCCGAAGAATGGGATAAGGCAATGAAAGAAGAAATTGACACAATGAAGAAAAGAAAGGTTTGGGAATTAGTCGAAAAGCCAGAAAATAAAACTATGATAGGAAACAAATGGGTCTATATGCTAAAAAGAAATGAAAAGAATCAAGTGGTTAGATACAAAGCACGTTTAGTAGCACAGGGATTCAGGCAGAAAAGAGGTGAAGATTTTGATGACGTTTACAGTCCTGTAGTAAATTTTTCAATCATAAGAATATTTTTCACTATCCTGGTATGTTTATATGGATGGACTAATTGTCAGTTAGATGTAAAGAATGCATATTTATATGCAAACCTAAATGAGAAAATATATATGACCCAACCAGAGGGATTTATCGAAGAGGAAAATAAAGTGTGTTTATTACACAAGGCCATTTACGGTCTACATCAAAGCGGCCGTGAATGGTTTTGTGAATTTGAAAGTACTTTAGAAAATCTACATTTTAAGAAAAAACAATGGTGTAATTGTGTTTATAAGAGTTCAAATGTAATTCTCTTGTTATATGTAGATGATATTGTGATTTTAGTAAAGATCAATATAGTATAGATAAAGTAATTTCACAGCTGAGTAAGTTTTTTGATCTTAAAGTATTAGGCAAAACTAAAACGTTACTTGGAATTGAATTCTTAGAGAATGAGAATGGGGTTTTTATACATCAGCAAAAATATATCGAAGAAAGAAATTTTTGAAAAATTTAAACATTTCCAGATACCAATAACTTCACTTCCCATAGCTAAAGGCACTATTCTTACAAAATTAGATTGTCCATCTACAAGTGCAGAAATTGCGGAAATGCATACATTACCCTTTAGAAATCTGTTAGGATGTTTAGTTTTTGTAGCTAACAGGACAAGGCCTGATATTACATATGCAGTGAATATCTTATCACAATTTCAGGAGAATCCTGGAATTAGGCATTGGGAAGCATTGTTGAAATTGCTTGGTTATCTCAATAGTACTAAATTATATAAGTTAAACTTATCGAAGATTAAACAT